GGAGGGGGAGTGGGGTCGAAGGGAAAGGGACTGGGGAGAGAGGTGGGGGGAGGGTGATCTCACAAGGGCCGCCTCAGTCGTGCCTCGATTTGTGTTGCTCCGTGCTAATGGCGCTCGTGTGCGGCAGCGTCAGCCGCGCGACGCTTGCGCTCGCCCGCGCTGCTCCGCTGACGTTGGACTTGCTGGCTCCCGCCTCGGCTCCCGCGGGAGGCACCCCGACCCGCCGCGCGCTGTGTTCTGATCGTTCGGTTCCGACGGGAGAAACCTGTCCCGCGAACAGCCCCACCACCCCCACCAACCACCACCAACCACACCGTCCTGTGCTTCGCCCTCTTGCCTGATAAAATATTTATGGATGTGCTGCTGCTCTAGACCCATTCCATCCTTGTGTTAGTTGAGCCAACATCAAACTGCGGCGAACTTCCATCGCCCTATTTTCACTCTGCCGCTGCAGCGCGGTCGCGGCTGCGCCTCAGCGCGGCTGGCGCCAGCGTGCGAGCGGGCGCAACTTATGTTTCAGGTGTAATATTTCGACGCGAACGAAGGGAAGGAAAAGAATTGCGTCAGTGTTTCGCGTCGTTTTATCGATTACGGGATAATTAGCAAACTAATCCAATTAGCGTTGAATGGGCCCCGTGGGCGCCACCAAGAAAGGGGAGGAGCGGGGAGGGAGGGAGGGCTTTAGCAGCTATTGTCTTCAAGTGGCCAAGCTTGTTTTTGTATCGGGCGCGAGGGGGAAAAAAGAAAGGGAGAACCGGACAAAAGTTTTGGTTGGTGAGCAACAGCGGCAGCTTTGTCGGCAGTTCCCGGTGTAGCGGTGGTGGCCGCGCCTTGCGGTATACATTCTTAGTTGATCTCCATCCTCAGCCCCGCGCCGAGCGTGCCCGAGGTGCGAGGCGCGCCGCACACCCGGCTGGGATGGTGAATACGCCTGCCAGCTGCCTGCCAGTAAGAAAAACTCCGGCCGGGGTCCTGGGAGCGCCCCGGGCGAGCCCTGGGCTCTCTGGTGGCGTGTTTGTGTGTGGGCACCGGACCGGGCGCGCCGTGCGTGCCGGGGCCCAGCCCTGCGGGGGCCTCCAGCGGGGCCTCCAGCCTCGTGATGACGCAGGCGTTAGGCTGTGTTTGCCCGTTTTCGCATAATCAGGGCCCACATTCACTTCCGCTTAATCAACCATCTCGGACTGAAGTATTTTTCAAGCCCGCAACAAGCAGTGAATTTGCATAAAGACGCGCAAGCAGCGCTTGTGTTTGCAGTAGGAGAACTTTTTTCCTTCCCTGTAAAATTATTTTGGACAAGACCCTTTATCCTGCGCTGCGCTCTCCCTCGCGCCCACAAACACACACAAAAAATGTATTTCGCTGTGGAATTTCGCCCGTAAAGCCGTGCCCTTTGTCGCGCGAGAGAGGTCCTGCGCGCGCGGGATGACACCTTTCACACCACCACTCTATATCGTTGTCTCCCCCTTCCCTTTCC